CTGGAATATACATTTTATGCAAAGACAATGTCAGATTGAAGGAAGAGACTTTTTATAAACTAGGTAGGATAAAGTACAAATTAGAGTAAAAGATGAATAAACAAAATATGTCAAACAATTACCTTCAAATACTAGACAACAAAACAAAATACAATTCCTGGAAATGTTGCCAGACATTTAACACAGCTACTCAATCTCCTTCCTTGCCTCCATGAAAAGAACTCAGGCAGGACTCCAACATATTAAAAGTGGTAGGAAAGTTTATTAGGAAAGAAAGACAGCAGAGAAAGAGATGACATTAACAGAGAAAATTAACCAGTTTAATAATAGCCCAGATGTCCTACAAACGGAGGGCAGAAAATATGGTACACAATGGAATTTTACTCATCCACTAATGGAATAATATATCATTTGCAGAAGAACAGATGGACCTAGAACAAATCATGTTAAGTGAAGTAAGCCAGGCTGAGAAAAACAAATCGGCACCTATTTTTCTCTTATACATGGAAGCTAAATCTAAATACAATTAGGAACAACATAGGTTCGATGCATTTACAAACAGACTAGAGACTCCTCTCAACAACTAAAGTACTGTTCATCAAAACAAATACTAGGAAATGGAAACATGTTTTTCTGGGTGAAGGACAAGAGGCGAGGCACAGGTTTAGAGAGAGGAAGGGAGAGCTATGCAGGTACTGTATCCCATGCACACTATGTAAAACATGAACTACATAACTTGTGGGTAGGGATGGAAGGGGAAATGGGGGAGAATGAAGAAAGAGTTGACATTGTCATAACTTCACTTATGGAGTTGTAACCCTTACAACTACAAAATAATGACAATTTTAAAAGGAGAGAAAATTAGTGAAGATCTGGGTGACAGTAAAGTCTTCAACTATTAAAGTATCGAACAGCATCAATAGGAAGGCTGCAATAAAGACTTTCACAATCTTTCTGCTCCATAAAATAAGAGCAATGGTGGCCAAAAAATAAGAATGAATGAATCAAAGACTTAGAGTACTCCAGGCAGCTTTGTCACCTGTCCTAGGTCTTGCCTCCCTCCCTCAAGGATCTTAACAAGCTCAAACCAACAGGCCCAGAACTGTGGTGCAATCCGGGAAGGGGCTTGGAGGGAGGGGGAGTGACCCTCCTCCAAAGCACCATACACAGAACACTATGGACCCATCCACAGTTCCCAGGAAGCCAGGGAAATGTCACTCCCTGGCTAATCTTTATTTGATCTGATTCAAAGTTTACCCAGTGCCAGGAACCTTTTCTCCAGAGGAGATCTGCCAATCACAAAATAAAGAGGGCCTATTGTTTCTTGGTTAACTTCACACTTGGGAGAAGGGGGTTGTGGGGGAGGGGGGTCTGACAAACAGAACCAAGATCTCAAAAGAAAAAGCTGTAGACTAAGAAGCCTAATCGGGACTTTGAAAAGATCAACATTTTCTTTTAAAATACAGAAAGCCAAGCTCATGCATGGGGCAGGATGCATACTTGGATGTGTGTTTGTGTGTTTGTGTGTGTGTGTGTTCCTGTGTCCAAGCTTATGCCTCAAGAAAGTTGTCAACTGGGCCTAAATTCTCACCTTCTGCTAATCTTAGGTTGGGTACAAGTAGGAAATGAAGGTTAAGGCGGATGTTTGCCTAAGCATTGGAACCAATTCCAACCTGCTCAGGATCCTTGGCAAAGCCCGGGAAAGTCAAAGATGCTGGTTATTTATAGAAATAATTGTCTAATCATCAGGTGAGCTAACCAGAAGAGAACCAGATAAGAATACAAAGCTTCCATGCAGAGTTCAAAAGTCACTATGGCTGGGCACCAGTGGCTTGATGTTTGAGAGTTGAGAAGAGGCTGAAGTCTGAGGATCATGATTCAAAGCCCAGGACGAATGTCCCTTTGCAGATAAGAGCAAGCATTGACAAACAGGAATGCATCAAACCAGAAAGCTTTCCCACAGCAAATAAAACAGTCACTAGACTGAAGAATCAACACCGCATACAGAATGGGAGAAATCTTTGGCAGCTATGCATCTGACAAAGAATTTATAATCAGAATCTACGAGTAGCTCAAAAACTAAGCTCCAAAAGAATCAACCAGAGAATTTATAAATGGGCAAATGAATTGGCAATTCTCAAAAGAAGAAATACCAATGGCCAGTAAATACATGAAATGCAAATCAAAAGGACATGGAGATTCCATTACTCTAGACAACAAAGGCTGGCAAAGACTGGTGTGGAAAAGAACACTTATACACTGTTGGTGGGAATGTAAACTAGTGTAGCCACTACAGAAAGCAGTATGCTTATTCCTCAAAACGCAAAACAGAGAACTACCATATGATCCAGTGATACCACTCTTAGGCCTATATCCAAAAGGAGTTAGGATGCAATAGAGACACTTGCACACTAACATTTACTGCAGCACTATTAACAACAGCCAAGCTATGGAAGCAACCTAAGATGCCTTGATTCTTTCAAATATTGAACCACCTGATAAATGGGCAATGAAAATTGGGTACGTACAGACAACAGAGTATTATTTAGCCATAAAGAAGACTGAAATTATGTCATGTGCAGGAAAATGAATGAAACTGAAAACTACCTTGTTAAGCAAAGTCAGCCAGATCCAGAAGGGCAAGGTCTCATGTATGAGAACGTGATTGTAAAGTTTGGGGGACAAGAAAAAGAAGAAAAGAGTGAAGGTGAATAATAAGGAATGGAAGGTGAATAATATCCAAAGACGTTGCATCTATAAACAGAAACTCAACTTAAAGCTGTCAACTAATAAGGGGGACAGAAAAGCAGGGAAAGCTCAATAGAGGAGGTTAATCTGACAAGTCAAACACATGTGAAGAAACCATGGTGAAATGGCTTTGCACAAATACTATATAAAAAGAATGACAAGAATGTGTAACAGGTTTTGTGGGGGTGGGGACAGGGGGAGGGGTGGAGTCAATGAGCAGGGTATAGACAAGCAACTTATTAACCATCTTTCTTTTTTTTGACTACCACAAAAATGATAATGTCCCTCTCAAATTTCTAAGCAGCTTCTTTTTGTCTGTTCACTATTACGGTGACTATATTTTTTTAACTTAGTCTGAAGCCAATCATTCCAATAAAAAGTACAATTTTTTTTCCATTTAATAAATGCTAAGAGTTCAGTTGTAATTTTCATCACTATTTGCTTTATGTTTCTTCCATTTGGCTTATACTGTTGCTAGGAAACCAGTTCATAATACAATTTCCTAGTGCAGCTCACAGAATTACCTTTCAGCCAACCCAGAGGTCATCAAACTTTGTGGCGGGGGCAATTCTCTGCCAGACAATATGCCAATGGACATTTCACACCACACAGGTGTACTCTGGCCTGGCCTCTGCTTGGTTCCAGTTCTCCTCCAGCAAGTGAGCAGCCAATGCCCTATCCATCCACACTGCAGTTGGTTCCCAGCCAGAGCTGTCCCTGGACACCTTCACCAGTCCCAACTCACTCTCCTGCAGTTCGGGTCTTTTTTAAAACTATTAGCTGAATGAAATGTTTGCCCCCTTGGAGGTAAGACAGCATAGCTGATCACAATTACTCCCCCAAGCAACACACGTCCAAAACTCCTGCTCAGATAAATACTTGAGGTGGAGATTGCATGGATATTTGCATAACTCAGAGGCAGGAAGGACAGCATTCAGAGGGGACTAAGACTTTATCTTCCATAAAATCGGGCTTCACCTCAACTCTCATCAGGGGGGAAAAAAACCAACTGAGAGGAATAATCTCAGCAACATCATCTTACCAAAAATTAAAAATAAATAAAAGGGCACTAGTTGCTCACTTCCGTAATCTTAGCTATTCAGGAAACAGGGATCCTGAGAATTGTAGCTCAAAGCCAGCACAGACAGAAAAGTCCGTGACATTCTTCTCTCCAATTAATCAGCAAAAAAGCCAAATGTGGAGCTGTAACTCAGGTGGCACAGTGCCAGTCTAGGGCGAGAAAGGTGAAGGACAGCACCTAACCCCTGAGTTCAAATCCCAGTACTGACACTAAATAAACTGTCAAAAACTCTCAGCACTGCCCCTTCCTTTAAGGTGAAGACAAAAATAGGTTTCAAGTGCAAAAAGCTTGGTTCGAGCAAAATAGGTTTCATGTGCAAAAAGCTTGGTTGGAGCAGATGGAGGGAACAACTTTTTTTACCTGTGCTGGTGGTCCTGGAGCCTTATGCTCATCCCTTGGCCTTATTGCCCAAGGTTTAAGGCTCTTGTCACTTGAGCCACAGCTCCACTTCCAGCTTTTTGGTGGTAGATAGGAGGTAAACATTTCACGGACTTTCTTTCACGGACTTTGAACCGTGATCCTCAGACCTCAGCCTGGGTAGTTAGGATTACATGGGTGAGCCACCAGTGGGGCTCAGGGGAGATGGAGATGACCTCTCCCCGCCCCCACTGCAGGGCAGTTACCAGGCCCCGGATGCCAGGGGTGGGCGGGGCTGACCTTACACCCCGGCCCAGGAAGGGGGGGGGGAGGCGCGGGCACAAGAGCCGGGAAGGGGGGGGGGGCGTGCGCACGGGGGCGGGGGAGGGGGAGGGAGAGGGGGAGGGGAGGGGAGGGGGTGGGGAGGGGAGGGGAGAGGGGGAAGGGAGGGGAGGGGTAGAGAGGGGAGGGGAAGGGAGGGGAGGGGGAGGGGAGGGGAGGGGGAGGGGAGGGGAGGGGAGGGGAGGGGAGGGGGAAGGGAGGGGAGGGGAGGGGAAGGGGCGGCGCGGTGACGCAACCACGGCGGGCTCGCGAGCGGATTCTCCTCAGCACCGGCCTGGCGGGAAGCACAGGTGGCGGAGCCCGAGGCGACGGCCCCGAAGCCCCGCTCCGGTGCGCGCCCCGCGGGCGCCCCGAGGTGCGGCCCGCTCCCCTCGGTGGGCGGCGGAAGTGGGGCCGCCGCGCGGCCCAGCGCGCCGTTCCCGCAGGCCCACCAGGCCCCAGACCCCGGCCCGGAGGGCAAGCGTCTTTTTACCTGCTCCCCGCCGCCGGCTGAGCCACCCCGCACACCGGCCGGGAGACGACCCCGGGCCGCCCACCCCGAGGGCACGCCGCAGCCCGGACCCCACTGCTGGGGCGGCCCCGGCGCCACCCGGCTTCCAACACCTCTGCCCCGGAAGTTGATTTTCGCCAAGGCCCGCCCATTCCGCACCTGTCGATCAAGGCACTGGGCGCGCGTCACGTGGGCGGAGGCCCTCGCCCGAGGCCTCGCTTTGGAGACCTGTCCGGGCCCCGGGGCCGGGGCCGCTGAGCGCGGCACGGATGCTCGCCCGGGGGACCGACCTTGTGTCTGCGCCCAGGCCGCACAGACGGAGACACAGGGCCAGCTGGTGCGGGTGGCTCACACCTGTAATCCTAGCAGCTCGGGAGGCCGAGGTCTGAGGATCGAAGTTGAAGCCAGCCCAGGCAGGAAAGTTCATGAGACTCACCGCCAGTGAACACCAGAAAGTCGGAATTGGAGCTGTGGCTCACGTGGCAAAGCGCCAGCCTTGAACAGCGCCCAGGCCCTGGGTTCTCGTCCCAGCGCTGTAACCAGCGCGTGCGGTAAGAGTCTCCCCAGACGCAGGTCTGGGGCCGCAGAGGACAGCGGCTCACGCGCCATCGCATGCGACAACTTGTTTTCAACTGTGAAGCCACCCCTTTTCAGGATCTTAAAAGGAGAAGGAAAAGGACACTACTGGAAGATCCTGTATTTCCCAGGAAGAATGGGTATATGGATGTGTGTTTCCATTTCAGACGGAAGATACCTAGTAGGTAGAAACGGTCAGCAAGGCGCCTACGGATGAAGATGACCCTCCATGGTTGACCTGGGAGGGCTTTTTTATTCAGTGTGTACCATTCACCCAGGATCGTGTCAAGTGTAACAACTCAGGACAACAGTGCACACCCGAGATCTCGACCTACAAGGAGCTTACAGTCTAATTACCTAGGCATTTGAGCAAAAACCTCTGGGATCGTCACGTTCGTAATGTAAAAGTCATTCTGGAACATCTTTGGCCTCAATTTTCTTTGCTTTCCATTGACCCAGATGAACTCAAACCAGTCATTTCTGTTCTCTACTGATGAGCAAAGTCCTAACGAGCCTCCAGTAAATTCAGGCCAAAGTTATTAATGAACATTTTCAAAGTGGAACAAATATCCTCTCACAAGCGTATTTTGATTTGGGGAAATATGTTGCTTTATTGCACATATTTCTTCATTCACGGATTGGAATACCAAGTTGGGGGCCATCTCTATATCCAGCCATCTACTTCTCAGTCATCTTTGTATATCCAGAGTAGCTTCTGGCAAGTAGGAAAAAATAGTCAACAAATACTTCTTAAACTAAGGGCTATTACCTTTGTTTTGTTTTGTCCCATATGCCTTTTTTCTGAAAACTTCAGATAAGTGTCTAAGGAGTTTCCATGGAAGTATTTACATCTCAACCACTTAATACAAAATTTAATATTAAACAGATTTTTAATAACAGTAAATATTTTATTGGATATTTGCAATGTACCTGGCATTGGGCGAAATAATTTTATATATTCTTATTTACATAATTATCAAAATTTTAAGTAGTTGTACAAAGAGATTCAACATGTCACCTCTTCCATGTCTCCCCCAGCCCGCCCAACTGCACCCTTCCCTCAAGTTCCCTGGTTCCATTTTCACATGTGCACTTTGACTATTATGACTGTATTCACCCACCCTTCTTCTCTCCATTTGTCTTCCCTTCAGCCTCTTGAACTTACCGTTTCCCAAAAACACGTTTCAGCTTCCTGCTATTCATTTTGTTAGACTGCAAGTTAGTTATTCAGAGGAGTTACATCATTGGAATCCTCCCTGAATATACCATACTTCAGTCAATTTGTGTATCTACACATCTGACCTTCTATATGTTTTCGTATATCTTTGTAACTTAGAACTTTCACATATGAGAGAAAATCTGTTGGGCTAAATATCTTAACTTGTGGTCACAACCAACCTGTAAATTAGATATATTACAATAACTTTTTTGTTTTTTTGTCTGTTGTGGGGCCTGAACTCTGGGCCTGGGCACTGTTCTTCAGCTCTCAGCTCAAGGCTAGTGCTCTACCACTTGAGCCACAGTGCCACTTCCAGCTTTTTCTGCTTATGTGGTGCGGAGGAATTGAACCTCATGCATGCAACGCACTCTATCACTGAGCCACCTTCTCAGCCCAAGGTATAACTTTTTGGATGAGGATACAAACTTCATGATAATGACTGAAGAGACAGAGCAGGATCTGAAACCAGATCTGCCCAACCAAAAGGTGTAATGTTTACTCACTGCAGCTCATCAGCACTACTTTCCATACCACTTGCTTATCTGAATCTTACAACCTTTGTGAAATCCCTTCCCCAGAGTAATCTGTCTCTTTTCTTATACATAGTGCAATGGCTTGTAATATATTATCAGTGTTAGCCAACCATCACCACAATCACCACTCATTTCTCCCACCTTCCATCACTGAACCTCAGCCCTAAACACCACCGGTCCCCTCCTCTCTCCTCCTCTCTCTCTCTCTCTCTCTCTCTCTCTCTCTCTCTCACACACACACACACACACACACACACTTTCTGCCTTCTGTCCTTCCTTGTTAGTGATTTGTCCATACTGAGACTTGAACTCAGCATCTGAGCACTGTCTTTTAACTTTTTTGCTCAAGGCTAGCACTCTACCACCTAACTAACCACAGCTGCACCTCCTGAGTAGCTAGGATTACTGGTGTGAGACATCAGCACCTGGCTGTCAGTTACATTTGCTGTGTTTCTATCTGCAGGCATATCATCCTCATAAAATTGTGATCTCGTGAGATGAGTAATTCGATGATCTGTCTCCAAATGATCAAATATGGGGAAAGGTAATATCAACTCAGAAAGAATGAAAAATTATGAACTCCTGAAGAAAAGTGATAGCTATGAATTTGGTAGTGAGGGTTGGAAGGCATGTAAAAAGTAAAAAGAAAATCAGAATTGAAAAAGGGCCAGGCACTGATACCTCCTGCCTATAATCCTAGCTACTCAGGAGGCTGAGATCTGAAGATAACAATTGGAAACCAGCTTAGGCAGGAAAGTCTATGAGACTCTTATCCTTTGTAGTTCACAGACATAAGCCATGGGCATATGGCTGGAGTCCACATCTATTTACTTACTTGAAAATGATCACAGTGGACATGAGGTTGCTTTCCCAATATTTGTTCATTCTTTCCACATGTAGCATACACCTGAGAAGTTTGGATGGAAATAACTTCATCTTTGTGTCCAAATTTAGTCCAATCAGAATAATGTCAATCTAATGTGTCCTTCTTGGCTATGAGTAATTGTTTTGAATTGAGCTACGGCTCCGCTTCTCTCTCACTATACCAGTTTTCAAATATCTCCAGTACAGATAGATTAGTCACTAGTCACTAAACAAAATTAAAACCAGAAGAATATGAAAGTCTAGTTAGGAAGCAAATTTCAAGATGTTCAAGCTAGGGCTAGACATGATCTCTGATCATGAGTATTTACCTTTGAAAGTAACAAGAAACAATTCTAAAACAATATTTAAGGGAGAACATATTCTTAGATAAACCTCATGCTTAACTGATAATAGCCTGTTACTATTTAATTTTAGGAATCTCCTCAGATACCGAACATGACAAAACAAATAACATCATTACCAGGGGAGCATCTCACATGGACCATAGAGAATGCCACAACTGCATGAGCCATACCCAGGGCCAGGATATGACTCGGAGATGGAGCCATGGTGAAATGTTCCCACATATCCTTTTTTTAATTGAGTTTTTATTGTATTTATTTTTACCTTTTCCATTACATACTTTTTTATTAGACTTTTATTTTTAGACTTATATCGATAGTATTTGGTTGTTAGATCATAGGCTCTCCAGATAGACCTAACATTTTGGGGGAGGAAATAAAGGCGAAAGAAGAAGAGGAGGTGATAGAAGAGGAAGATACAGAGATAATAGGAAAGACAGGGGGGAAGGAGGGAAGGCTATGAGAAGGTGGAGGGAGAGAGTGAATGCTAGTTATTATGACTGGGCAGCAAAAGGGTGTACTTCTCATGGAAGGATCCCAATGGTGTGACTCCTTTGAACAACTAACTCACAGTTTAACAAGTTGAATACCAGGAAGCTAAAACATGTATTATCACCGTGGGGTGAGTTCAAGGGGAGCAGACAAATAGAGAAAGGAAGGGTTTGAATACAGTCATCATATTTCAGTGTACACATGAAAACTGAACCAAGTAACTTGAGGGGTTGGCTGGGTTTGAGCAAGGTGGAGAATGATGGAAGGGGTGACAGTCAAAATGCATTATACTCATAAATTGACATGTTGAATTGAAACCTTTTATACAGCTTCTTAAAATGTTTTAATGAAATGTAAAAAAAAAAATTAAAGGTGTATAGGACTTTAGAGTCAGTCATTGTTATACAAATGAGCATTTCACACTTGTTCCATTGTTTCAAATTCTGGAATGTTCCTTGAGATTGAGGCCAGCCCTTTTCCAAGAGTAGATCATGACTAATGTCAGCCAGAAGTTGCCCTAACACTAGTCATATTCTTTAGGGATTATCCAACAAGTACAAAACCAAGGGCAGTTGTTCAACTTGTTGGAAGGAACTTCCTGTCTTCCAAAAATTAAGTAGTGAAGCATATGATCTCTTGGGAACTGAGTCTGAATCATTGATCAAATCAGTTCTAAAGTTTCTATCACATCCTATCTATTGTTTCAACTTAGATATTTGTTTGTTTTTTGTTTTTGTTTTGTTTTTTTGGTCAGTTGTGGGATTTGAACTCAGGGCCTGGGCACTGCCCTGGACCTTTTTCAGTTAAGGTTAGTGCTCTACCACTTTGAGCCACAGTGCCACTTCCGGTTTTCTTGTGGTTAATTAGAGATAAGAGTCTCACAGACTTTCCTGCCTGGGTGAGCTGGCTTTGAACCACAATAGTGATATCTCTGCCTTCTGAGTAGGATTACAGACATGAACCACTGGTGCCCAGCTACAACTGTTTTCTGTTACATGCAACCCTAAGGGTTGTCACAGTGCAGGATTCTGTATTTCTAGCCACATATTAAAAGAGCCTCTCTATATTCTTTTCTTTGG